TCGCAACGAATCCCGTCTTGTATACTAAATACTTTGACGTAAATTCATTCATGTGCTTCCCTTTGGTTCGTATGGTGCTCAATCTGCGGTTCATGTTGCAGTGGTAACTTTGGTTTCGCACCCGAGAGATATGTTAAGAATTACACTGTTTCATTGATCAAAGAATCCATCTGTTGATTGAAGTATTGGAAATAATAGATCCATTTTACAAGTTTGGCAGCTAAAATCCTGCATATGAAGACATTCACATGCTTCCAGCTCGGACCATTTGCAAAATTTGATCATAACTAGGAAGCATGGACGGAGCCAATTAAGGCTCACTGGGGGCAGATGCCCCCACTCAAGTAATTCGTTTGTTAAACTGCAAACTTCGGTTATATAATATACACACGTTATCTTTGTAGTAAATATATGTATCTAATGTTCAACATACCTTCATATTACTTCACTGCATAATATGAGCAAAAGTGCTCTTGTTCTGTCATTCAAACCAAAAAACCCTATCCCGCCTATCATGTAGGAATATTTTTCTCATCATTTTGCCACTTTCCACTACTAGACTGAAATTTTTGTACCATTGGACTTGTGATACACCATCATTTGAAATCATCCCTATTATCATATTGGGTATTAAGACATCCTATAATATGGTCTTTTTAGATATTTTTCGGGATGCCCCTACTAAAAGAAATTTCTAACTTCGTCCTTATTGGGAGGCCTATGATTCGATACAATTTACATGCCTTCACAAGTTTCTAACCTTTGGACTTGCACCAACTTGTTCCGGTGGCGATGGGGATGACGGAGGCAACCCGTAGACGTTCTTATCAGCTTTGTCCTTGTCAAAGGCCTTTTGTACTTCCTCCTTAAGCTCCAAGAAACGCTGCCTCTTTATTTTCTGCTCGTCGGTGGTGCCCGTCTCAAGGAAGCGCAAATCAGGAAGGTCGCCGTGAATTAACTTATCGAGGACTTCCGAGCAATGTGGAAAATAGTATCGACCCATGCTGACTGCCACAATAGAACACTAATGCTTAGAAGAGAATAAAACCGATGACACTACAAGTACTTTTAACTAGCAGATTCTAAATACTAAATATTTGCTGTTGTGGTTCGACTTATGATGTCTTGTGGAGTGTAAAAATAACTTCCTTGGTTTCATTTCGTGCCTCATGTTACGCAAGGCATGTCAAGTTGGTTAGGAAAATTGTTAATTTGACTGATGTGGCAAAAATAATGGGTTTTTCCGTTTGTTTCCCGTGTTCCACATCAGCCAAGTTAATGATTTTCGTAACACCTTGACCCTTGACGGAATGGGGTAACACGAGACAACTGAAGCATAGGGGCAAAGTCATACAATTGCAAGTTCTTGTGGCAACGCCGGGGAGGGGGGGGGGGGGGGGGGGGGGAGAGGGGAGGGAGAGTTTCGTCAAAGCATGCAAATAAATAAGCCGAAGAAAAGGATCAACCAGAACTCTGCAATTCAACCACAATAATTTATCTGAGAGACAACCATGATACCTGTTTTCACAAGGGATTCCAACCGAGAAAGGAGTCTTTTGTTCTGCACGGTGGGAGTCTCATTCAAATCAACCTCCATCAAATTCCCACTTGATCCTTTCACTGAAGAGATCCCGGCAAACTCAGACGTTGTGTCTGCATGAGCAATCGCCATGGCTAGCTTGGCTTCAGCAGGGAATAAGAATCGGGCAAGTGCCACTGCAATAAATAATGCACTTCAGATTCAGGCCTTATCTAATAAGTGAAGGATATCACGTCAGATACTCAACACACATTAAACAATCAAAACATGAAACATGAAACGCAAAAGGTTGAGATTCAAGTGTTTCTGGAGAAAAATGATACCGACTATGCCACCACAATCCTTGACTAATCAAAGTGAGAGTGTCTTAGAAATGTTACCTCGATTCTCCAGTTTCAGCAATCTCATATGCAGATCATTGGGCGTCATTTGGGAAGATATAGATGCCTCTCCAGCCATTGGATTCCTCAGCATTTCTCTCTCTAGAACATCAATGCAAATTCGGTCTTTGTTTGCTTCTTGCCCCCGCTCTGTTTTTGTATGATAATCCTTTGGCCTTGTCAACCTCCGGCAAATACTAACAGCGCTCTCACCTTCTAAGGTCGGCTCTGATGCACGAGCTCCATTAGACAGAAGCAATATTATAATTGATGGCTCCTTGCGCATCACAGCAATGTGAAGCACTGTAAAACCCCGGGAATCCCGGAGGTTAACATCAGCCAGACCCAGACCAAGCACTTCAGTCACAACTTTAGGATCGCAGTAGGCTGCAGCATAATGGAGCGCATTGGCTTCATCTAAGGTCACATCAGACTCGGTTAAAAGAAGTTTCATAAGTTCAACATCATCGGAGTCCAGTGCCTTATGTATTCTCCTGATTCTCTTTTCACGCAAGGGGTCCACAATCGGCATGTTTGGGTCGCAGTAGTGCTGAGAATTCCGGCGAAGAATTTTAATCTTCTCCACAACCTCGTCAGGAAGTCGTTTCTCAAGAGAGATACTATCAAGATCCGAGTGTGCCACTCTCTCTATACACTGATCAATGAGCTGACTTAACTGACAATGAAACGCCACCACGAGGATTGGGATAACATCATCCGCCAGAGCCTTAACAACAAAATCAGTAAGTTGTCGCTGCCAATACACACAGAACCAAATCAGAACAACCTTCCATTTTTCTTTCCAAATTAATTAGTAATCTGTCTTTGCATTCGAGATATTGGAAGATCCAAGCTTGAATAACGAAGTTGCAGAAACACTTGAACAAATGTGCAATGAGAACTCGAAAGTTGACTAATTTCTCAATGTGATTAAAATGTTTGATCAGAAATTTAGAAAGCAAACAGCACCAACCAACCTGAAGTACTGAAACAAGTTCCCGCATTCCGAAAACCGAAGAGGCACACGTCAACTCCAAAGCAAAATCAATGGCGGGTCGACAGGCTTCATGGCCGCACACATTATGAACGCAGCTCGAAACCTCAACCGGAAAAGCCTTCAGCTTTGCAGTATACACAAACCCCAAGAAAACCACAAACGCTTCATAACCCACATGCCCAAATGGCAGCAAATCACTCAAACAGTACCTAGGTTTTCCTTCTTTTTCGGAACCCCCATTTTCCCGGCTAAATACCTTCGCGAAAACCTCGCTCCTCGAAGCCAAAATACATCGGTGGACGGCAACCGGAACGCCCTCGACGGTGATTTCGGCATCGCTGTAGTCGCCGCCGGAGTCGGCCAACAGCCGGCCCAAATTGGAGCTGAGGTTGGTCAGGCAGGTGAAGTCCCGGGTGGGCGGCGGGGTGTCGGCGGCGGGGGAGGAGGAGTTGGGGGTTACTGAGCCGTTGGATACGTGGGAGGATGAGGTGACGCTCAACGAGGATGATGGATCGGCCATTTTTAGTTTGCGTTAGATTTTAAACATGGAGATTAATGAGATGGATCATCAAAGCTTGATGATTGATGGGGTCACATAAATGCAGGAGGTGGTTGAAGATGTTACTACGAAAATAGTCAACGGCGTTTGAGTGACGATTATGCTTTAACGTTGCTAACGTGGTTCAAGTTTTCCACGTTTATTAACTCCCGGGTTTAAAGCTTAAGTAGTGAGAGAAGTGAGGAAACATGCTAGAATTAGAATAGGATTTAAACATGGAATTATGGGTTAAAAGTCAGATTTAACTACTACCATAATTGATCACTTGTTTGATTTAGGGTGATGCTGCGCTTGCTATCCAGACACCTATTTTTGTCTCACACATTCCTCTTAATTTTCACCTGCCGAATTGAATGAATTGAAGAATATTGATGGAAAAAAATTAACAAAAGTGTGTGAGGTAAAAATTTATCATTGTATAGCACCACCTTTTTGTTTTTTTTTTTTTTTAGTACATCGATATTTTTACACTAAGGGGAGGGGGGGTTCGGCAAAACCAACAGCCTAATGTGGTATCGAATTCGCCATCCACGAGATTCGAACCTAAGACCTTTCACTTTCAAATGAAGAGGAATACTATTATATCGTAGTACTGAGTGATACTCTTTATTTATTAGGAGGGATGGATTATGGAGTTTGGATTTTATTTTTTATTTTTTATTTTTTAGTTTTTTTAAAGGAGACTAATTGATGGCTTCGACATGACAGTCCACCTTTCCAAAGGCCGGAAAGACTCATAGAGGCATTTCAACCTCCCATTGGCCACCATCATGTGATTCACCAAGACATAAATCAAACTCAGAACGTGTCGTGTAAAATACGAGCTTGAAATTCATTCCCAACCACTAGGCCACCTCGTGATGGATGAATTTGGAACTTTAATGTTAAGTATATTGGTGGTGCTACACACACTAAATTCTTGCATTTGTGCACTATATGATGCGACACATTTTACACTATATTACCACTATTTAATCAAGTTCCAACTTGAATTAAAGTATAAATTTAATTAGTGACACATTATTTGATAAACAAATTTAGTGTATCTAATATGATTCTAAGTATATTGAGAAGAAAAATAAGATGATAAATATTTTTAGGCCTAAATCTTAATTATTGAATTTTTAATTAAAATTTAAAGGCCAAAGTCTAGATAAATAAGATAATCTAGAGTTAATTAGAAAAGAAAAAAAAAATCAAATTTAACTTTTTGACAAGTAATATTTATTATGTATTGAAATTGAATACATCTAAATTCATTAAGAGTGTTTTCCTTAAATGCGAAGTTTTGAGTTCAAAAATCTCCTGAGACGGATTTAAAAGAAATATAAAAGTTAATTTTCATTGAACAGATACACCTACTATTCAAAATCATCCTCTACAGAACTACAAAACTAGGATACTTGCTAGTTTGTGCAGTTAACAGAACAATTCACATCTGCCAAGATTTCCCCCTCCGAATATAGCCAACATTTTCCTACGCTTTCGTCAGTAAACCTCCGAAGGCTTATTTGATACAAATTTACACGCCTTCACCGTTCCCTAGCCTTCTGATTTGCACCAATTTTTTCCGGAGATGTCGTGGAGGATGATGAAGACAATCCGGAGAGGTTACACTCGGCCTTGTCCTTGTCAAATGCTTTTTGTACTTCCTCCTTGAGCTCCATGAAACGCCTCCTCTTTACCTTCTGCTCGTCGGAGGAGCCAGGCTCGAGGTAAAACAAATCAGGGAGGTCGTCCGCAATGAACTTATCCAGGACTTCCGAGCAATGAGGGAAATAGCATCTACCCAAACGGACTGCCACAATACGATGAAGCTTAGAACAAATGACTAAATATTATGTAAGTCGACCGCAGTAACAGAGAAAAGCATGCATTTGTGATTTACCTGTTTTCATAAGGGCTTCCAACCTGGAATGAAGTCTTTTGTTCTGCACGGTGGGGGTCTCGTTTAAATCAACCTCCATCAGATTCCCACTTGAGCCTTTCGATGATGATGGCGCAGCAAACTCAGATGTCTCCGCATGGGCAATGACCATGGCTAGCTTGGCTTCTGCAGGGAAAAACAATCGGGCCAATGCCACTGCAATAACAAGTGAAAGATGTCATGCCAGAGACTCAGAGGCACACTAAACCAATCAAACGAAGAAATAGTGTTTTTGAATGGTGTAAATAAAATTGAGAATGTCTTAGGAATCTTACCTCTGTTCTCCAGGTTCAGCAACTCCATGTGCAGATCATCAGGCATTATTTGGGAAGATATAGATGCATCTCCAGCCATTGGATTCCGCCGCATTTCCCTCTCTAGAACATCAATGCATATTCGGTCTTTGTTTGCTTCTTGCCCCTGCTCTGTTTTTGAATGGTAATCCTTTGGTCTCGTCAACCTCCTGCAAATACTAACAGCACTCTGACCATCTGATGTCAGCTCCGATGCACGAGCTCCTTTAGTCAGTAGCAATACAATAATTGATGGCTCTTTGCGCATCACAGCAATGTGAAGCACTGTATAACCCCTAGCATTCCGGAGGTTAACATCAGCGAGGCCCAGAGCAAGCACTTCGGTCACAACCTTAGGATCGCAGTAAGCTGCAGCATAATGGAGAGCATTTGCTTCATCCAAGGTTATATTAGACTCCGTTAAAAGAAGTTTCACAAGCTCGACATCATCCGAGTCCAAAGCCTTATGTATTCTTCGGATTCTCTTTTCAAGCAAGGGATCGGCAGGTGGCAAGTTTGGGTCAGAATCCTGCTGATAATTGCGGCGAAGAATTTTGATTTTCTTCACAACCTCATCAGGAAGTCCCTTCTCAAGAGAGATGTCATCAATATCTGATCGTGCCACTCTATCTATACACTGATCGATGAGCTGATTCAACTGACAATGGAAAGCAACCACGAGAATTGGGATAACATTGTCTGACAGAGCTTTCCCAACAAAATTAAGAAGGCGCCGCTGCCAACACATAGACAATCAAATCAGAACTATTTTCCATTTGTATTACCAAAAGAATGAGTAAATGATAAGTTGCATAGACAGAATAACAGAAGACCAACCTCGAATATCAAAACCAAATCAGGCATTTGGAAAATGGAAGCGGCGTACATCAATTCCACAACGAAATTGATAGCAGGTCTACATGCGTCATGGGCACATACATTGTGAACGCAGGTTGACACCTCCACGGGAGAAGGCTTAAGCTTTCCCGTATACACATAGCTTAAGAAAACCAAGAAGGCTTCATATCCAACATCACCATAAGGCAGAAAATCACTTATACAGTACTTTGGCCTGTCCTCCTTTCCAGAAGACCCCTTGTCTCGCTTGAATAGCTCGCGAAAAAATCCACTCCTAGAAGCCAATATACATCGGTGTACACCAACAGGAATCCCCTCAACTACGATATCAGCATCACTATAATCACAGCCAGGATCAATCAACAACTGCTCCAAACTAGAGCTAAGCTTGGACAAACTGATGACTTCAAGACTTGGCACCGATTCGGAGCCAGAACACGATAAGTTGTGGCTTATTGAACCATTTGATAAATGGGGCGATGAAGTAAAGCTCAGAGAGGATGATGGTTCAGCTGAATGAGCCATTAATCGACTTTGGACCTGTAGAGCCTAGGATGTATGAATGTCAAGCCTAATCACATAGTGCTTGAAGATAGCAAAATCTATAACTAATTCCCTTGAAGAATTAAGACCCCCAAAGCTGTCTAATTCTTCCAACACAAGCTATAGCCTATAGCTCTCAAAATATTATGATCCATCTTATTCGTATGGTAAAAACCTATAAGCAAAAGTGCTTTTGAGAATCGAAAAGCAAGATAAACAGACTACTTAACAAAAGGGGATGATCCAATATGATCACAAAATTTAAATTTACAAGTTTAACACTCAAAATACAAACCTAGCACAAATTGTGATTTTGCTCTTCACTTTTGAAAGGTGGGTTCCATTGAAAAGACTTAAAATACAAAACTATTGGATTAAAACTGCTAATTTCAAGCTTCCAAATTAAAACTGATGAGTTGAAGCTTCCAAATTGGAATTAGAAACAAAATCTAAAATACAAAGCTAGAATATTCATGGTCAAGATCTAACTACAACAATATAAACCAAATATTGGATCCAATATATTATATGATGTGATTTGTAATACTGCACAAAACAGAAACTTTTGCAGATTTAATCAAAAGAGTTGTATAAAAACTAATAAAAAAAAATTTACACATGTACTGTTATTGGCTTCTCCTACAAGTTGTAGTTTTCCTATCAAATCCCACCTGAATTTCAAAACCCATAACATCAAAAGAACTCATCCCAGGAAAATTGTAGCAAACCCAAAATTTCCCAAAACAAGAAGAAGCAAACTTTCAACCATATAAACCAGAACAAAACTCACAGATATCAAATCCCAAGATTGGCAGGGAGGACAGAGAGGTGGGGGGCCAAAAGGGTAGGATTCAATTCAGAGAAACAGGGTCAGAAAGTAGAAAGAGAGAGACAACAGAGAGAAAACAAGCTTTTTTTATGTGTTTTTTTTACAGCGAGAGAGAGAAGGAGCTGAGAAATTTCGTTAGAGGGAGATGAAGTCGCTGTGGTGACGATTGAGATAGCATCAGCGATCCCAGCTGGGGTGAGATGACGCAGGCTCGGTGTAAATTAATGGAAGTGTTTTGTTTTTGTTTGGAAATTACAAAAATTGCAAGTGTGGAAAAATAGAGAGCCATTGTAGGCGCAGTAGTTTATTATTTTGGTTAATCTTTCGCTTTCATCTGTGAATAGAGAGAGAGAGAGATAGAGAGAAGGGGCAAAAGGTTAGAGACGGAGTTGGTGTCGGCCATAGTTGACATACCGTGTGATTCATAAGCAATTGATGTCATCTGTCTGTTTATTTTAAAATGCTAGGATGATAAGATCATCATCAACCGAACGTTGGCTAGATGACTCGTTTTAGATCTCTGGTCTTTGAAAAAAATAATATTTTAATGAACAGTATAGGGTTATATTTCTTACCATCTCCAACCATAGAGCTCGTTTTAATCCTGTCACAAAAAATTATCTCCAATCGAGGACCAAAAGGTTATAGGGTCAAACATAATTTATTATTTAAAAACTGCAACTTAAATTTAAATTCAACGGCTAAGTGACATCAGCTAGCGTTGGATTTAAATATTATTTTTTTTGCTATAAATAGGGTGGATATTGGGTTATAATTCACACACCTTTAAATTCAATCTATTTCAATTCAAGTTTGCAATGAATTCCAACTTTGGATCCTCTTCTGATTCCAATTGGGGTTCTCATCCAATTCCAAATTGGAAGAAAAATGGGCATAGATGAGACGAGAAGATGAGGAGTCTGATGAAGCAGATGAAGTAGATAAAGCATGGCGCAACACACAAAACATAATAGCAACCATGGCTGCGGCCATGGTGTGTCAGCCAACTCAAGAACAACCTCAATAGGGTGGCTTTATTGTTGGCCGCTCTTACAAACCACGAAATAGAGCGATGATGCATGCCAATCTGATGAATAACTATTTCAACCCCAACTCGGTGTACACAAAAGAGGATTTTAGTCGTCGCTTCCAGATGAGGCGTCATGTCTTCGAGCGTTTACTTCATGATGTCCAACATGTTAATCCATACTTTCGACAGAAGCGGGATAGAACAGGCCGTGCTGGTTTCTCACCTCATCAGAAGGTTACTATTGCACTTCGAATGATGGCCTATGGCTCCTCAGCTGATTCGATGGATGAAACCCATGGTATATTTGAGTCTACATGCCTTGATACTCTTGCTGAATTCTATGACACAATGGTTCAGTTTTATAAAGACGAGTACCTTCGCAAGCCAAATCAAGAAGATCTGGATCGGCTCATTCGCAAAGCTAAAGACCGTGGATTTCCAGGCTTGATAGGGTCATTAGACTACATGCATTGGGATTGGAAGAACTGTCCCACTGGATGGCAATGAGGCTTTTGCGGAAGGTCAAGAAAGTTAACAGTTGTGTTAAAGGCGGTTGCTTCGTATGACACATGGATTTGGCATGCTTTCTTTGGAGTCCCTGGATCCCAAAATGACATTACAGTTCTTGAGCATTCACCTCTCTTTAATACCCTGACAGAACGTAAAGCACCTCAACCTGACTACTACATCAACAACCGTCAGTATAATATGGGGTATTACTTGGCATATGACATTTACCCAAAGAGGGCGACACTTATCCAAGCAATTCCAAACCCTGTGAATGACGCCGAAAAGCTGTTTACCTTACACCAAAAGGCATACCGGAAAGATGTTGAGAGAGTTTTCAGTATTTTACAAGCACAGTGGAAGATCATCAACGAACTGGCAAAAGGGTGGAGTCGAGAAAATTTGGACTCCATCATGATGTCTTGCATCATATTACACAATATGATTGTAGAGGATGAGCGAGATGAGTATATTGATAGAGAGTCTGATGACAACCAAGACAATCCAAATAGGTCAAGAAAGGCTTGTGCAAAAATATATGATGGGCCTAATTTGCCTTTCAATCCAAGAACTAGTAGTATCCCTATAAATAAGTACATGAGGCGTTATAGAATGATATGTTCCCGTGCCACAAACAAGTACCTACAACAGGATCTTGTTACACATATTTGGGCCAAAAATAACATGGAGTAGGCGTTTAAGTTTTATGTTGTTAAATGTTTTTAAAAATGTTGTTTAAGTTTCATGTTGTTAAATGTTTTTTTTATGTTGTATAATTCTTATGTTGTTTAATGTTATTTAATATTGTTTAATATTGTTTAATGTTATGTAATGTTTAATGGTTTAGGAAGGTACAGGGAAAAAAAAAAGAGTTTTTAAAAATTTTTAAACAAATTTTGTTAAAAAAAAAAAAAAAAAAAAAAACGGCTAAATGACCGGTGCATTTGAATTCCAGCCCGACTTGGGGCTGGCACCGTTGGCCATTTGGCCCTTTTTTGTCCAGTGGGGCCAACAAACCCTTTGGCCTGACCCTTGGTTGGAGACGATTTTAGTGCTATTTTTGAGCCTCTAGCCCTCTGGATCATTGGTTGGAGATGGCCTAAGCCTCGGCATTTTTTTGATTCGTTCCTTGAGAAGTTAGGCTTATATACTATTTGCTTTTTTGACAATTTAACACACAAAAGTTGCTTGCAGTGTCAATTACGGTCAAAATTTCATCAAAACGAATCACGTAGCATGCAGCACACATGGCTTTTTTTAAGGATGTTGCATCGAGAGATTTTTTAGTATATTAGAACACGGAACAGTATAACATATGTTATTATGTAATGAGTTAAACATGAACTATATAATGACATATATATATTGTCATGTGTTTCAAGCACAGTAAAAAATTTCTCTATCTTGCCGATAGCATTTCTTTTATAAAAGCTCGGTTGTGAGCGCAATAAATAAAGTCAATGTAATTATGTCGTGCCTAACATATTAGTCAATGTAATTCTTTCCCCTAGTCATTTAAGAGTCTAACATATTAGTCAATGTAATTCCTTCCCCTAGTCATTTAAGAGTCATGAAGTAACGAGAATTTGCCCTTAAAATGGCCCAGATGTGCAACACTGTGATGTTTTCTCATGGAATTTGTTATAAAGAAATGACTTTTATAGCAAATGATTATTGAAATTAACTCAAGTTATCAAAATAGTTTCTCGCTTTCAAAATCAAGTAACATCGTTTTTGAAATTAAGTACTACACATCAATGTAATCCTTGATTATCAAAATATTTTAAATTTTCTATCAGTTTGATGACGTGGCATACACAAAGTCCACACAACCAATCATTTGGCGCCACGTAGACGAAAAAAAAAATCACATTTTTAAAATTTAAAATACAACAAAAATGAAAATCAAGGAGGCATTCCGGCAGACAAGCAGCTCGAAGATGGCTGATAGATTTGGCTCGCAAGTACAATCAGGAGAAAGAAATTAAATGTAATGCTTGTTTGCATTTTAAGGGCAGTGAATTGCAGGAAGAAGAAGGTCAAGCATATGAACTGATATTTGATGCAAGAGTTGGTTGTGTCGTTTAAGCTCTCATACAGAATAAGCAAAAACATTAGCAAACCTAATCATAGTTTGTTTGGAATTGTTTTTAAAATAACTGAAAACACTTTTAGAAAAATATTTTTAGGTTTCCAAAAGCGAAATACTTTCTATAAGAAGCAAATAATTATAGTTCTTCTTGCATAAAACACTTTAAGTACCTTTTTAAGATTCACTTGTATATTTGTTAGGGATTGATTTCAAAAATATTTTCAATATATACGATTTCATACATTTTAAAGATACTTCAAAACGAGCATCAATATCTAGATAAACGTGGTATTAAAGTGCTATTTTCACCTATTCACTGTTCATTTCACCTTCCATATTTTCCTTACCCTCCCACAAAAGTTAAGGGAAAAAAAAAGTGATTTTCTCTCTTTTTAGATTCTCACATATATATATTTTTTTATTTCTAATCATCAGATTTAATAAATCAAACCAAACCAACGAACTGAATTAAACATGAGTGTGTGTGAACTTAAAAAGAATTTGTGTTTATCATTTCTCAAAAAAAAAAAAAAACACTTTACTTATTCCTAAACTACTCCTAGCTAAAACCTTACAAATTTTATTTTAAAGATTTGAATGGACTTCTAAATCTTTTCTAAACGAAATAGATACTAGTACATGCATGAATTGGTAATTATTCGTCTTCATTTTTTATATAAAAAAATACATCAATTATAAAAATGAACAGAATCTTACGACGTAATTAATATATCTTTTTCTTCGTTACCTCTCCTCTATAGAAAAAGAGAGGATGATATGATCATTTGGTCAACAAGATGTAGGGAGTGGACATAGCTATATACATGTTTTTCTATGCTTGCCACTCGATTGACTACATTATTTAACATAATCTACATGTCCCATCGTCGATACACACACACACACACACACACACACACACACACATACAGACATATATGGAAAATGTTCTTTCCCATACGACGAATGTGATAAGAAAATATTACCTACTACTAAAAAGAAACAAAAGAACCCATCATCCCATATTATCTAATGTTATGTTTGAGTGTGGCCTGTGAGTACACGACAGATATTTGCATGCTCGATTGCTGCGAAATTGCTACTCGTACGTCATATATTTTGTTTACTATGTTAACATGTATTAATTATTTTTTAAGCAATGAAAATTATTTTATGTTTGATTGGTGTAGACTGGATCTATGGTTCACGATCAAGGGATCCATATGATCTGCATGCAATCCTCATCATGTGGTCATCATCAAGACCCTAACTTCATTACTTTTGACTAATTGTTTAACTTTATAAATCAATCAGCATGTGGTGGGGTTGTTCTGTAAATAAGATATTCGTCCTCCACAAAAATATAACTTAAAATATTTGTTTAAAACTTGTTCTTCCGACCCATTTTTTATCCTCCAAAGATGACCTACGCCATTTGAAGAATGCATGAGATATTCTACTAAACCAAGTACTTTCTTGAGCAATCACGAGTTGGTGGTCTAGTGGTTAATGACGAATTACCAAATTTTTTTAAAATTAAAAACTAGAGGTCTCGGGTCGAGTTTGAAACTCGTTGCTTGGTCTGGAAGCTAGACTTGTAGCTAGAGGGAGGCTGAAATGCCTCTGTAAATCTTCCTAGCCCCCGAAAGGGATGGATAACTGTGATTTGCCACCAGTTGTCCTTTATTTATTTTTTTTTAAATAGGCCCTTGAGCGGCTCCAACATTAGCCCCAAGATGTTGGTCTCACAAGCCCCTTTGAGAGAAATTTATTGCTAGCTAGTTAACTAGCGTTTTTCGACTGGTTGTTATGTTAATTGTAGCGTACCTTTTCTTTTTTCTCTCATTTTTAAATAATATTGCTTATACTAAAAAAAAATTAATAAGCATTTTAATATTATATTCAAACCTTTTGTCTTGACAAAAGTAGAACTCCTTCTTGGTCCACTTGAAAGACCTTAATGAATTGTTTTTTTTCCAATTTTATTGGTAAATTCTTTGTTTAATAAATTAATGAAAGAGGTTTGGCAAATTCTTTATCATGCTGATGTCACGACTTCCCTTCAAAACAAAACCGGTCGGATACCACTTCTGCCCAAGGAAAACTTAAAACGGTCTGAACCCTAAAACCGTTGGTCTAAACCGGTTCAGAGAAAGTGATATTTTGGAAGATAACAATTGTCAATTTAGTAAAGAACAAGACGTGCCAACAGTAGAAGAAAACATGGCAAATGACAACTATCATAAGGTGATTTAGTAGTTAGGGATGAATTTCAATTCTTGTATTACAAAACTATGTTCTAAGTTCGATTCCTAACGTTGGTGAATCATATAATAGTTGCCAAAAGGAAATTTAAATACCTCTGTGAATTTCGATCCTCAAAAAGATAGACTGTTGTAGCAAAGCCACTTACTAGTATTTTTGGAAAACAAAGAAGAAAACATGGCATGGTAGAGAGAGAGGTGGAGAAATGAGAGGAGGAGATAACAAACAAAAGCACAGTGTCAATGACTCGTATGAGTCATGAACTTTTGGGGTATTACCTTTTGTTTTTGTCCCAACTATTTTGTATGCTTCTGTTTTGAATTTTTCTTAGAGTAAATTGGTTCTTTAATTAAAAATTCATTACCATTGATCCCTCAACTAAAAATTCATTATTATTGGCCCCTCAACTTTAATCCAACTAAAGAAATAGTCCCTCAGTTTTAACCCAATTGGAGCAATAGTCTCTCAACTTTAACCCAATTGTAACAAGGGTCATTCCAACATAACTCATTTTGACAAAATTCTAATAAAGTTGAAGAAAATGATCATAGTTATATGTTTTGATGAGTTAAGGGACCCCAATTGTAGCCATAGTTCATCCAACATAACTTATTTTGATAAAATTCTGACGAAGTTAATAAAAATGACCATAGTTACATATCTTGATGAGTTAAAAGACCAATTGTAATAGATTTTTACTTGAAAAATCATTGCTTCAATTTGATTAAAATTGATAAACTATTACTACAATTTACTATTTTTTTTACATTAACTTTTGCATGTGACAACAGTGGCGTGGACGATTCTCTCTCTCTCTCTCTCTCTCTCTCTCTGTCTCTCTAACCCACTATGCAACATGTTACATGTCATCTTATAGCAATGGTCAATGGTCAATGGTCAAACTTGCATAATTGCTTGGGTATATATTAAATAATAAGTATCTATATATTCATATTCTTGAATGTGTGGAGTAAATCGCCTAGATATGTGCGAGTGATTTCTGATTGTTGTTGTTTGTGAGTTATTCCACGCTTAATCAGAGGTTATGCATTTGACTTGAGATGAAATAATAATACACCAAGAAAAAATGCATTTTTTATTAGAAATGCTCTTAATTAGTATTTGAGAGTTTTGCATCGAAGGTTTTGATGGCTTGTGATGTAAAGAGATAATCAAAATCTTCACGTCTCCTATTCATGAGTTAGACCCAAAACATTCCATAGGAAAACTTGCCTCTTTACAACACAAGCCCATCAACACCTGCAACACAAAAGCCCCACAACAATAAGCAGCTCGTATTTGGTTCCAAATACCCAAAAAAAAAAATGCTACTTTCTCTTGTTTAACATCAAGGATAATAAAAATAAAATATCAAAAAAGGTTGACGTGGGTTATGTAAGTTGGTTGAAATATTGCCCTTGCCTCTTTGTACCTAAGTTCAAATCTCTGCCCTAATAAATTAGAATATTTTTTATTCGTCATATCTTGTTAAAATAATATAAACCATCTTTGATCTTCCTATCCAAAAAAACTCATCCCGGTCCAAGTTCAAACCGGTTCAGATCCCGACCGTATATTAAACAGTAAAAGGATAATACTAGGAAAATTAAATTTGTAGATAAAATTTACAAACTAAATGATATGTCACCAATAAGAATTAGGACGTTTATCAACGTTTAAGCAATAAACCAATTATCAACTTTTATATCATTTAGTTTCTAAAATTTTATCTATAAATTTAGTCGTCCTAACATTACCCAACGGTTAACACGTTAAAACGGAATCAGGCAAGACTCCGGTCCAGTCTTTGTCCTCATCTCTGTAACCATCTTTCGGCTTTTTCCCTTGTAATGGCTAACATAGCTGTCTTTTTTGTATCTTCTGGTTTTGTGGGATGTCAGTGCAGAAGAACCTTTACACTAACACTTATTTCCTCCATCCCCAAATCCAATCATCCTCCGAAAAATGGCTTCCTTGAAGGAACTGCTCAGCCAAGAACGAGTCGGACTCGAAAAAAATAAGTACCCGAAAGGCCAGAAACCATTGATGTACAGAGAGAGAGATGAACTTACGGCTCTATTTCTGCCTGTGCACATCTGCCAGGATCGAAAAAGTTACGATTTTTCGCACCACAAGGCTCGGACGCGAAAAGGGTCGTCGAGAAGGGTGAGTACTACTTCGGAGAGGTCGAATTCCAAGTCATTGGTTTCGGAGAGTTCGATGGATGGTGAGCCTGCCGCCATTGATGAAGTTACCACTAGAGCTGTGGTTTCGATACTTAGCGGTTACGTTGGGAGGTACGTGAAGGATGAGGGTTTTCGGGAAACAATCCGCGAAAAGTGCAGGTCTTGCTTGGTGAGAAAGAAAAAGGATCTGGATAATGGGATGTTGGGAAACTTGGAACTGGGTATTGAAAGTGTTGAGAAGTTGGTGGAAGATCAATGGTCGGAAAGTAAGGAAGTTAGGACGAAAAAAGTGAAGAATACGATTCGGGTTTTGAACGTTGTTGGTTCCGCAAAATCTAGCAGTTCTCATCTCTCTGCCTGTGCTCAGCTCTACTTGTCGATTGTTCACAAGATTGAGAAAAATGACCGGCTTTCGGCGAGGCACTTGCTTCAAGTGTTCTGTGATTCGGCGAGTTCGGCACGAACGCATTTTCTTCCTGATCTTTGGGAGCATTTCTTTCTTCCACATCTTTTACATGTGAAGATTTGGTATGCCAGGGAAATGGATGTTCTTTCGAGCTCAGATGACGGTGAGAAGGAGAAGAAAATGAAAGCCGTGGCAAGAGCGTACGATGAACAAATGGATATGGGAACTACAAAGTTTGCTTTGTACTACAAAGAGTGGCTTCAAGTTGGGGCTGAGGCCCCTCCTGTTCCTCCTACTATACCTTTGCCTTCTTCGATACGCAGTTGCAGATCATCGAGAAGGAGATCATCGGATTCTTACACTTCACATTCCTCGCTCAACAAAAATTTGTAAGTAGTACTAATACATGAAAACGTTTGAATCACTTTTGCAAAACATTTTGAAAGTATATTTGATTTGTAGTTTGTGCTGTAATTGTGTATCTTGTTTGATGGCTTCGGAAATCACTGAAGATACCACGCTGTGTTTGGCCCCACGCCTGAGCGAACATCTGTGGAGCTCAATCAGCGAAATGGAGTTTTAAACGATGCTTGGGGTCTAGATGAGGTGGAAAAGTTGTGTGTAGATGAAGATAATTACAACCATATCGGTTATGTTCATGTGAGTGAATCTGTCTTCATCTCAGTTCTTTACTGCATTCATTTTTCGTAAGTAATTGAATGTTGCAGGGAGAATTCACATTGTCACCGCTTTCTGATTTTGTCAGAGTGGAGAAAGGTCTAGTCGGAGAAGGTCATCAAGCGAAAATCATAGAAATCCAGTAATTGCGCTATGGCCTGAGTCGGAGACACAGAAGACGGGCCATTTTGGATTCTTTAGATGCCAGAATGAACCAACAGAATGCTTGGTGAGCAAGAATCTCATAGTCAAGAACAATTCAATCCGTAACCAAGATAACTCCCATCTTCCACCTCTAAGCAACTTAAGCCGGGCTATTAGCACCATCTACTCCTCCGATAATCTAAGCGATTGCGAAAGTGCAATTCGTGTGATTACCAAGGCTTGGTTGGACTCCCATGGTGATCCTGTCATTGAGGTTGAGCTATCAAATCCACCTGTTATTCAGGGAATGCTGGAGGTGTTGTTTGTTTCTAGTAATGACGAAATTTTGGAATTAGTAATCTCGGTTTTAGCTGAATTGGTAGCGAGAAACGAGATGATTAGACAGATCATACTGAACTCGGATCCACAGCTTGAGTTTCTTATGAGACTTCTAAAAAGTAATGGTCTATTTTTGAAAGCTGCAATTCTGCTTTACTTGTTGAAGCCAAAGGCAAAACAGATGATATCTGTCGAATGGGTGGCACTAGTCCTTCGAGTACTAGAGTTTGGAGATCAGTTGCAGACACTATTCACAGTTCGTTGCAGTCCTCAAGTGGCGGCGTTGTACCTTTTAAACCAGCTTCTTACCGGTTTTGATGAAGACCGAAACTTGGAGAATGCAAGAGAGGTAGTTTCTCTTGGAGGGTTGAGCCTTCTGGTGACAAAAATCGAGAGAGGGGAAACTCATGAGAGGAACAACATTGCTTCAGTCATTGCACATTGTGTTCGAGCTGATGGAAGCTGTCGAAATTACTTGGCTGATTTTCTCAACAAGGCTTCTCTTCTTGAACTCATTGTACTTGGAAATGGCAAGAACTCTACTGGCTCTGCAATCGCTTTACTGATCGAAATGCTATGCCTTAGTAGGTATGGATTTGTTTTGAACTCTTTTCATTTTTCTTGTACGTTTTATATCTTCTTTTCACATTTTGAGCAACTGAATGATTTTTCGCAGAAGAACAAAAATCACTGAAATCCTAAATGGACTGAAAGAAGGATCCCGTGGCATTAACACAATGCAGATTTTGTTGGTCTATCTGCAGAGAGCTCCACTTGAAGAACGCCTGTTGATTGCCGTCGTTTTACTTCAGCTTGATCTTATGGTAAATCCATCCTTTGTGATTACGCAACTTTCTCGTAGAAATTGTAAAATCTTTCTAAACTCATTTCAACTTCTGGCAACCAAACTGTTCAGATAAGTACTTAAATCTTTGCCCTAGGGTTTTAATATATATCTTGAATAGTTCCCATATGGAGTAGCAGTTTTGTTGCAGGGAGACCCTTTCAGGAGCAGTGTATATAGAGAAGAAGCCATTGAAGCAATCGTAGAAGCTTTAAGCAGTCGAACATGCAGCAAAAAAGTCCAGCAACGATCGTCAAGAGCTCTCTTAATGTTGGGAGGCCGGTTTTCTTATACCGGCGAGGCATCAACAGAACAGGGGCTTTTACAACAAGCCGGTTACAGTCACTGGCCAAGAAATTCATTTCACTTCAAAGAAAATGTTGTGGATGGTTTTGCGCACTCGGTAAGCTTTCTACTACCCCAAACCAGCTGAAATTTTTCGAAAAACAAACAAATAATGGCACCATTTTTATGCGATCCGAAAAATCAGAACGAAGACGAAGCAGCAACGGAAAATTGGCAAAGGAAAACAGCCACTGTTTTGTTCAAAAACGGCAACAGGAAACTACTCGTGGCCCTTTCGGATTCCATGGCTAATGGCATCCCGAGTTTAGCGCGATCGAGCCTCGTGACGGTGTCATGGATGAGTAGGTTTGTCGACGCAGTCGGAGATGAAGATTTAGGGTCCATGGCATGCTCAGTTCTTGTGCCTCAGCTGCTAGAATCACTGAATTATGACAGAGATGTGGAGGAAAGAGTGCTTGCTTCATATACATTGCTGAATCTAGCAAAAAGTTCAGGTACGTCTTTCCAAAATTCAAAGTTAAATAATTTGATTGATTAATTAATTTATTTATTTGTGTTGTGAAAAATTTCAGTTCATGAAAACGTCCCTATGCTATCATCAGTGGGAAAAGAGTTGCTTAGGAAACTTCAGAACCTGTCCTTAGTGACATGGACGGCAAATGAGCTTATTTCAATCATCACAAGCAACTAAGGGCTTCACTGTGAGGGGGATTATTGCATGTTAGCGAAGGTCACACGATGAGTGATATACTCACGCAAGGATATACTCTCGGTGACGCCCAAGTCTTTCTCCACCGCGAGACCTAAATTTGTTCCAAATTAGTGAAACTTCCTTGGAGGCAGCTTCCTTTTTTCTTTGTTGGTGTGTGTATGCGCGTTCACATGTTTGCTTGTAATGGTTCTCTTTCTTCCAAAAATGGCTATTTTTGTATAGTGCAGCATATTTGAGGGGAAAAAGATTATTTATCCAAACAAAAAATTATGAGGACACAGCCTGATACAACTAGGAATTCCAAACTTGACGGGTCTTGACCTGACCTCGCCGGAATGAACCTAGGCGGAGAAGTTGCGAAATCTGTTCAATCCACTTATATACAGACAACGTTACAAACGCAATAATTTAACCCAAACCGTCACCAAATGCAAGTACCATCAATCCACTTATATACAGACGTCTAATTGCAAAAATATCTCCCAAACAAGTAGCAAAAATAACCAACATCCCAATCTCAAAGTTTGAACCTGCCATCTCCACGTATACCCAAAACCTTTTCACTCACCACCCAAATACCTCAAGTCCCACAATGATTTAAGAATTTGGGCCACCGCCCAGAATGACCTGTCGTTTCAATCCACTCAAAGAAATCTAGCACAAACAAGTGCAACCAATGACAGAAGTAACTTCCACACTTGTGCCCTTGTTGATAAGTTTGCACAAATAGAAACAGAACTAGAATCTCCCCCCTAATCAACAAATATATCCAAATTTAGTCCCTGATCATGACATGTTTCTCTCCCATTGTCCTTATACATAATAAGAGGGGAATCTCTCCAGTAGAAACAGCAAATCCCTTCCAAGTTCATATGTCTGCAGATAACCTGCACATTTTTTGTGGTCCTAACAGAGCCCCAAGAATTGGCCAACCATCACATGCCAGGAATCTAAGGAAACCAAGGAAAGGACCACAAGTAAAAACACTTGCAGCATACATGCAGGCAAAAATCTAGAGGGAGGGGAGCCATAAACTTTTAGATATCTTTCGATGCAAAGGTAATTACAAATTTTGTAGACATATATGGAAGTGATTTCTACACAACTTTTTTCTCCACCTACACACCCTTGTAGATTTTTAGCATTTGGATAGAAATATTCAAAGAAGAATCAAGGAAAACAAGTAGACAGGAGTGCGGAAATCATTTCCCAACATATATTGTGTTTGTAAATAATCCAAAAATTGCCCCAACAGTGTATTTCCTTCCTATTTATAAACTCTACACAAAACTGAAACTCGCAGCATTCAATTTATGAGCAGAAAGGACAGCAAGGACAATGGTGTCTGGAGTCTACTTCTAATTTAAACCTTCCGTGTTTTGTACCATTTCGACTCGATTCATACATATCACACACAAGAAAGAAACACAAGTGCTCAAAACGATTTGGAACCACTAAAGAACACACAAGAACTAACATACTAACTACAATGAAAATGCTTAACATACCATTTCGATTAAAAAAACCATTAGATTCACGCACAAACTCTTTTTCAGGAAGTTGGAATTGCGTCCTGGTTTGCCAACTTACAGAACCATATCCGTCCTGTTCCACAAAAAAGAGATCATAGGAACGAGCGTCGAACTTCATATGAAAAACATAATGTTTTCCAGGTCAGCATGCAATTTATAAAACTTTCCGTCTAGAGAAGCCACTGAGTGTGGTGACGATGCCAATGCCGCTGCTGCTGCTGCTGATGATGATGAAGAATAGGAGGAGGAAGAAGATACTGAATCTCGAGACTGTCGCTCGATACTCTCATGGTATAACCGCCCTCTGTATGCAACAAGGTCAGCATAGTATACCGGTGGTACCAAAGCTACAGGTTTAGTACACCTTGCTAAGGTGAAGCACAAGTCATAAATGAGCTTCTGCAATTGGTCTGAGGTAAACCTATGCTCATCCCAAAGAACATAGTAGTGTGTGGGTTTGCTTGTTCCGAGGGCTCCATAATGACTGCAAAGATAAAAGTCAAACTCAAACGGGTGCACGATTGTTGTATCCACAACAGTTCCCGGTAACACATTGCATGTTGGACTCCCATCCTTCACATTCTCTAGAAACAAACGAGTATGGTGCCGCTTTTGAGCAACAATAAGTGTGATGGTAGGATAGTATTTTTTACATCCAAAAGCCCTCTTCATATCTAGTAACTCTTCATTTAGAACCATATCAAACTGGCCCTCGCTGACTCCATCACGGAAGACAACAATTTTGTCTGGCTTGACTTTATTCAATCGCTCATAAGTTTCAACAAGCTCCAGGCACATGTCTCCAAAACTCAATATCCTTTCACTACGGTGTTGCTGGGGTCGAACTCGTGCAGCATAACGATTCAAAGCAGGCCAGTTTACAGTGGCAACAACAGCTGCAATTGATGGACCTTTTTTGTTTTGCGCAGCAGGATGATTGACATCAGCCCCCACAAACATAACATGGCCTGCATCCCCAAAGAGGGGGAGCCGATCAATTAGTTCTACATTACTACCTCCAAGCTTTGCATTAATCTTAAGTGCAAGGTTTCCAAGATACTTTTCATTTGCTTTGTTGGCCATATTTGACAAGCAGCACTGCGTCACTATACCAATTTGAGTCTCAGAGATCCACTTCAGATACTTGTAACCAGGATCTCTTCTAGGCATTACACAAATAATTAATTGCAAGTAGCCTTTTCCTTTCTTGTGTACCTCTTCATTAACACTTTCAAGTACCTGGCGAAGCATCTGAACACTAGAGAATGGTCTCATTGTAGTGCCTTGGTATGAAAGAGGCTCTTCCATTCTGATTCCCAGCTCATTGCACCGATTGATGAGCTTTGGGATGAATCCGTGGTTCAGTACAAATCGATCATGACGGGTGAAGTCAAGTAAAGCCCAGCGATTGATTGGTTTTCCTTCCATTACAGACTTTCCAATCAGATTCCAGTTGCATTTCTCTCTGTCAACTGTTACCTTATTCACCTTGCCATCAGAAGCACCGAACTTCAATTCTGGTGGGCCAATGACACGCCCTGTTACTGGTGTCATATTCTTGTTAACTTCAATTCCAAAATTTTCGATTATGCCACCACTGCCAATAACACAGGATCATATACTTAATAATGACAGCAGTTTTTATACAGGATTACTTTACTGACAATGGTTATAACTATCGCCATATATATAAGAATCAAACAGAATACTGGTTTCAACCTTCAGAGAAACCAACTGCCTGCTAACTGTGCAAGTTTAGCAAAATGGGATTCACAAACCACAAGAGAGAACATAAATTTACTTACCCACAGGGTCCATCGTCAGACTGTATAATGTCACATATCTTCCTCTGTCTATCACGCGGTTGAGCCAATGACCTACTCCTCAGCATCATGGCTGCTTCTCTGTCCAAGCGCTCCTTTGAATACTTTTGCCCCTCAGCTAACACACAGAACTCCATAGGTGTATCGTTCCTTCTACCATTTTTCCCCAAATCCAAGCAAGGAATGTCTGTATGCTGGATTTCCTTGTATCTTTCCCTGAAATAATCGACAAGTCTAACTTTCCTTGGTGGAAACTGGCCGTCTATGTCTACATCATAAAATGCAATATCTCCTGCATTCTTATCAGTCAGCCCCTTGATGATGTACTTTTGCTTGGTTTTACGGTGCATCACAGTTACTTTCAGTCCTCTCAACACACGCTCAGCCTCTCTCCTAAACCTCTCGAAATTATTTAAAGTAAAACCCCTAATCTGCTCTTGAAGAAAATCTATAACTGGCAAGCGCTTATAAAATGCCAGGACTGAGTAGTCAAGACACAGGGAAGGACCTTGGGAAGTGAGCCTTACAGAATCTTGAAACCCTCTAGATGCAGAAATACCATGTCCAAGGTCATCGTTGAGACTAGAATCCACAGGGTAATAGTTTCGCCCAACAGCAATCAAGCGCATACTTGGATTCTCTTTCATCACCAAATCCATACCGTGTAATATATCACGAGGGATAGACAATAAGTGGCCACTCAAGTACTCCTTCAACTTGCAAAGCTTAAGCTCGTTTACTAACTTTATAGTAAATATGTATGTAGTAAACCGCGTGTCTTCTTCATCAGGAACCTCTACCTTAAATGATCCTGTGGGCAACTGCACTGCACTGAATATGTTCTTTTCACCATCGTATGCAGTACTTGACAAGGGAAAGTCCATAGGTTTATCAGAGGATAACTTCTTCCTGATTGCAGAAAGCTCAGACTTGGAAATTTTCATATGATTAGGAGCAGGGGTCTCTGATTTGACATCAACACCGTAGTGCATTATGATACTCTCAGGATTGAACGAGATATTAAAATGATTAGAACGAAGCATAACAGTTTGGATAGCTTTTGTGCCTCCATTGTCTGGCCGTTTTGCTGAGAGATTCTTGTCTGCATTGTCCGAAGAAGATGAAGGAGGCGTCTGTTTTGAAATTTCCAGAGATCGTAATCGAGGGACAAAAGTATCTATGTAGAAAAATAAACAAAACATTATGTGTTATCCTCAGTGGTGACTGTTTATGCAAACTAAAAAAATGCTAGACTACTGAAACGCATTTTTTCCACTGTGAACATATTTATGCAAAAACTCTCAGTAAAATCAACCAAATGCCCAGTTCAATGTTCGGAAGCGCCTTTAACTTTTTTTTCGACAAAATTTGGCAGAAAAACTTGTTATAAAAACGCTTTTGAGTTGCAAAAGCACTTGGAAAAGCTTCAAAAGCAATTGGATTTTTTTTTTTGAGTGGGCTAAACCTCACAATGGGCAAGCCACAGTAATTTAGTTCGAATTCATCTTTGGAGAGAATCGAACTTAAAACTTCTCACTCACTAGTACTAAGTGGCCAAAAGCAATTGGATTTATATTAAAAAAAATTAACGTACTTCTAATAAAAACGATTCTAGTAAAAGCTCTTATGAGATAAAGTGCTTTCTTGAGAAGCGATTGCAAACAGGCTTATTGTAATCACTAAATAAACATTATATCACCACATTCTCATTTTATACATACAAGTGTAACACATACAACTCAAACAGGAAAACTTAATCAGATTAAAATTAGGGATTAAAAAAAATGCAATTAGTTCTAGAGGATCCATACCAGGAGGAGGAGGGGAAGTAGGAGAGTTCGCTAGGGCTGGAGATGCAGGGGAGGGCGCTGTGGACACCCACGCTCTGTTGGGCCTACCGCTCCATGGAGAAGGTCTCCCCGG